TATTCCATTCTTTGGTGCAGGAATGGTTAATGATTTGCATACTTCTAGATAAGGTGAATCACAATGTAATATAAATAATTATATTTCTGTAAAAGGAGTTTGAAATTTGTAGGATTTTAAACATATTTATGGAGTTTTGTTACTTTGTTTTCAGATATTATTGATAAAGCCAAGGGATAAATGTTTAGAAATGTACTCAATATGAATACTCAAGGATTTTGGTTTTTGGTTTTTTAATTTTATTTCATATGCATTTCTTCCTGCCTTATTCTTCACACTGGTGTTTTTGTCCCTTCAGCTTTCTCATGGAATATACAGCCCGATGTAATCCTTACAGCCTGGGTCAGTCAGAGAGAGTCAGCATCTCCATTTCCTTGAGATGTTTAAAACACAAACAAGCAAATAATAGCTGCCTATAACCCACAACCAAGTTTTGGGCCTCAGATAATAATTCCAGGTAGAATAATTCTGGAAAATAACTCTTAAACTGCAGTTTTTCTTGAAATCCCTTCTGTTTGCTCAACTTGCAAAGGATTAAAAGTCTGGTTCCATTAGTTAATTGTGACGTAGCCCAAGTTTTAGCTGATAGATTAATTCCTTTACTGATTCTGCTTTTGGACATTTTTTCTTTTAAATTTCATTTATATGGTTATTATTTCTGAATATACAATTTCTTTCAAAAATAGGACAAGGACAAATACCAGTTTGGTAAGACAAAGATCTTTTTCCGTGCCGGTCAAGTTGCCTATCTAGAAAAATTGAGAGCAGACAAACTGAGGGCTGCCTGCATCCGGATCCAGAAGACCATCCGTGGGTGGCTGCTGAGGAAGAAGTACCTACGCATGCGGAAGGCGGCCATCACCGTGCAGAGATATGTGAGGGGCTACCAGGCTCGATGGTAGGTCTCATGATGACCTATTAGGTTGCCCATCTAATTCACTGTCCAACCAAGGACAGTTTTGAGTGGTCACCATACCTGAAAAGATAACACCTCACCTTTTCTTAGTTCCAAGGAACAACAGATTAACTCATAGGACAGCTAAATAGAATAAAATTCACTCAGCCTTATGAATGATTCAGATTTATCTTCAAAACATTTACAAACTGCTGCCTACTTAATGTCCTCAAAATTTTTATTTTTGATACTTTTATATTGAGCTTGAGGAAATCATATATAAATTAAGATAGTCATGAATATGAGCTGGTTAATAATGACTGCATGAAGAATTTTGGGGAGCAATTAACTGAGATGGTCTTGAAGAGAATTACACTTTAGTGTGATTACATATTAGGTTGATTTTAATTGAGAAGTATAAGTAGAAATGAATTAACGAACTTTTACGCTAATAGATTCAGGAAAAATATGGTACATTAGTATTGGCTAGATCCAAGAAAGCTGGTGATAACTAAGTGTGAGGTTACAGTGTATGTCCATCTGTTATATAAAGAGGACATAGTAATGGATCCTATTGCAGAAAGAATGAACTTTTTTGAATTTCACTTTCTTGTAAAATCTGGCAATGTGGGCCATCCTGCTTTTCAGGGTAAGGGAGGGCTCAAATGAGATAATAAATGAAAAAAAACTTTGGGAAACTATAAATTGCTATACAAATGTAAGTAAATATAAATGTTGACTTAGCATGCACATTATTAGAATAATACAATGGAGGTACTACTTTTAATGCCTAAAACAGTGACACTGTTTACATCTCTATAACATGTATTCCTGTGTTTTTTTTCTGAGTGACAACACACTGTTATTTTCTTTGGCCAGCTATGCTAAGTTTCTGCGCAGAACCAAGGCAGCAACTATCATTCAAAAGTACTGGCGTATGTATGTGGTCCGCAGGAGGTATAAGATTAGACGAGCTGCCACTATCGTTCTTCAGTCTTATTTGCGAGGCTTCTTGGCCAGAAATAGGTATCGCAAGGTGAGGCATTATTTTCAACTTTGTTTATTCCTTCTATTAGCATTAAACAAATTCCACTTCTATTTAGAGTACCACAGGGGCTACAATGAACATAGAAACTGTATGGAGACAACCAGCAATTGAAATGCATATTTATTTAAAAATTTTTTTTTTTTTTTTTAGAAACAGGATCTTGCTCTGTCACCCTGGCTGGGGTGCAGTGGTCCAGTCATAGCTCAACTGCAGCCTCAAACTCCTGGCCTCAAACAGTCCTCCCACCATGGCCTCCCAAAGTGCTGAGATTACAGGTGTGAGCCACTGTGCACATGCCCAGCCTGAAATGCATTTTAAAATACTAAATAATCACATATATTTATTAACAAAACAATAGGGAAAAAACATTTTCCTCTTTTTTCTCTTTGTTTATATAATTTGAAAAAAAAGGTATTTTTCTCTTTGTTTATATAATTTGAAAAAAAAGGTATTTTAGTTTCCTTTGGCTGCTATAATAAATTATCATAAACTTGGTACCTTAAACCAACTAAAATTTATTCTCTCAGAGTTCTGGAGACCAAAAGTCCAAAATCATTATCATTGGGGCAAAATCAAGTTGTCAGCAGGCTGGTGTCCCTCCGGAAGCTCCAGGAAAGAATCCATTCCTTGCCTCTTGCATCTTCTGGTTGCTGCCAGCATTCCTGTGCTTGTGGCCACATCAGTCCAGTCTCTGTCTCTGTCTTTACAGCATTTTCTCCTCTGCGTACCTGACTTCTCTTCTCCTATCTGCCTCTTATAAGAATAATTCGGATAGCATTTAGATTCTACCATGTAATCCAGGATAATCCTCTCATCTGAAGATCCTTAACCTAATCATGTCTGCAAAGCCCCTTTTTCTGAATAAGTTAACATTTGCAGGTTCCAGGAATTAGCACCTAATTTCCATGGGGCCCACTGTTTAGATGACTACCGAGAACTTTGAATAGGTAGAATATATGACAAACAGGTTGAAGATTATTCCAAGAATGAAACAACCTTGAGAGAATTTTCCATGGTCAAGAGGAGACAAAGTATAACATTAATTCAGTTAAAATTTTATTGACAGGTATGATGCACCGAAAGTTTTTGACAAATAATCTTATATCTAGCAATAATTAACAGGGTCACCAGAGTAATTTTAATTATCACCTGTGACCATTGAACAATTTTTATCTCTCATTATGGCAAGGTTTGGAGTCTGTCCTATAGGGTATATTTCAAATAAGTGAGAAATAGAAGCCTGGATATTAGAGCTCTGTGGACATCACCATTAGAAGGAGCATTAATGGGGTGATTTGGGTCTCTAATCACAGGCAGTATATGGGTATGACTTAGGCTCTATTTATTTTATATTTATTTTACTTTTTTATTTGAAGTGATTTTAGACAAAAAAATTGAAATTGATGAGGCTTGAATGAGTGTATTTAATAGCTGTGTTTTGAAGATAGCTACTCCACATCTTTCTTTCTGCTCACCTCTCCTTTAGTCTCATACTCTTTCTATATAAGCATGAGGTTTTAGGGAAGGAAGAGGTTTGAAGTTGGCTTTTCAGATACACCAAACTAGTTAAACCTTCCTATGTTCCTCAGTACTCTCCTTAGGAACATCTGAGTTGGGGTTTGAGCCATTGGTTTAGCAGTAGCAGTCTCTGGCCAGCTCAGGCTTCTACTGTGACTGGACAGGGTGGACAGGGTGGAGGTGGCAGCGCTGAGGCTTGCTCACATGTAAGCCAACAGCTATCACATTACTGCTCCTTCTAGCTGTATTTCAGGTCCAAGGTTCCCCTTCACGAGATGTGGGGGAGTCTTAAAGAGAGTACAGGTGTTGATTAATTTCTCTCACTCATGATGCAAGTGAGATTAAAAATGGAAGCTCTGATTAAGTGTTGTTTCCATTTGACTAAAATTTCAAAAATGGACCAACGTCCAAAGTTACGTAGGGGAAGCAAATGCAACAGGAAAACTGGCATTAAGAGCTTTGCCACTGTGTCCTGCTTGAGTTTTAAACTCTGAAAGTCTTTAATTTGCCACCACTGAGGCTCATCCAGTTGCTCCTTAGTCATCTGGATATGACAAAGGCCTCTCTCTGGACTGTGACGTTCAGTGAATGTTCAGAACTCCCAACCTCAGTGCAGGGTGATTCAGTGGCTACACTGAAGAAAAACCGAAGGCTGCCTTAGCATTAGGAAAACAGCCACAGATGGCAGACTTGAGGCCGCCAAAGATACTATTCAGATCTCCTGAATAGTGTTCATTTTGTTTTTGATGGTTTAAAAGTTAACCAGTTGTTTCTTAAATGTATCTTCGAGGATGGCACATTTTATTCATCGCTTTTTTCAGGTACAATAACCTAAAAATAGGAACTAGTCTTTTAATCTTATTAAACTCCTAATATATGTGGTTAGATGCTTTCAGAGATTTTTTTACATTTTAAGAGTTTGATACGGCCAGGTGTGGTGGCTCATGCCTGTAATCCCAGCACTTTGGAAGACTGAGGTAGGTGGATCACCTGAGGTCAGGAGTTCGAGACCAGCCTGACCAACATAATGAAACCCTGTCTCTACTAAAAACGCAAAATTAGCAAGGCATGGTGGCACATACCTGTAATCCCAGCTACTCTGAAGGCTGAAGCAGGAGAATCACTTGAACCTGGGAGGTGGAGGTTGCAGTGAGCCGAGATTGTGCCATTGCACTCCGTCCTGGGCAACAACAGTGAAACTCAACCTCAAAAAAAAAAAAGAGTTTGACAGGAGGTATATTGTGTCTGCTTGTAATAATCACCAACAAGATTTAAGTATACATATAACATTTAAATATCATTTATATCATGTGAGTTTCTTCATAAAATCATAAACATAAAAATCTATAGATGCCAGTTTTTTTCTAGTTTACCTTTTCTTTTATTGTCTCTTTTTTTAAGACAGAGTTTTCCACTCTTGTCACCCAGGGTGGAGGGCAATGACATGATCTCCACTCACTGCAACCTCCACCTCCCGGGTTCAAGTGGTTATCCTGCCTCAGCCTCCTGAGTAGCTGAAATTACAGGCGTCTGCCACCATGCTCAGCTAATTTTTGTATTTTTAGTAGAGACGGGGGTTCACCATGTTGGCCAGCCTGGTCTGGAACTCCTGACCTCACGTGATCTATTCACCTTGGCCTCCCAAAGTGCTAAGATTGCAGGCATGAGCCACTGTGCCCGGCTACCTTTTCTTAAAATTCAAGAATTTCTTCTACATCTTTCCTAGAAAATGTTTACATGGTGTCTGTTTGTTACTCTTTAGTGACAAGAAATTCATCTCATAAGGCAACCTTTTGTTGTAAGTTGTTTATAAGTTTAGGGAAATATGATTTTTTTATAGGAAATACAGCATAAAATCAAGAGTAACATTAGGTTGTTTCACATCTCATTACTTTTACCTTTCATTTTAAAGCCCCATCCCTCCTACCTTTGAATCCCAAAAGTGGATTCTTGCTACATTTGAAATAGCGATGGAAAATTCTCACTGGAATGTTATTCCTCAAATGTGGTAAACAAGAGTGTTATTTTTTAGTTTCGATAAAAAAAAAAATCAATGAATCAGTACAAACTTTATACCGCCCCAAGTGTTGGCCTCTCCAGTCAGTTCACTGCCCATACCTCATGTCCTCATGCACAGGCCTAATAATACATAGTGAGGTGGTATCAGCAGTCAGGGTAGTAGGGAAATCTCTTATGTTAGTGGTTCATCATTTACAGGATGCCTGGTTCTGTTAATTTTATAGAGTATCATCTGTTGCTAACAGAAATCATATACTAATAAGAAATCTAATGTATTTTTTCTTTCTTTTTAAAATTGTTTTTCTTTTGGTAATCTAGTGTTTTTTATTTAGACAGCTTCCAAGTCCATATTCTGCTTAGAATTATACGCATAATATCTGCATGTAACACATTTTTATATATGTTTTTGAAATTGCCTTCTAAATTCTACTTTTCAAATCACTTTAAAAAATAATTTTGTGGCCTCCATATATCTGTGATACGTATAATCTACATAATAGATTGTCAATTCAACTCTGTGTCTTTCCCTTTAGGTAATATATGGACTTTTAGCCCAACATTGGTTGATAATCATGAGTGTATTCGGGGGTCTTGACATTGCTTGCCCTTATCCTTTTCTGCAGATACTCCGTGAGCACAAAGCAGTCATCATTCAGAAGTGGGTGCGGGGTTGGCTGGCCCGCATGCACTACAAGAGGAGCATGCATGCCATCATCTACCTTCAATGCTGCTTCCGGCGGATGATGGCCAAGCGCGAGTTAAAGAAGCTCAAAATCGAGGCTCGCTCAGTAGAGCGCTACAAGAAGCTGCACATTGGCATGGAGAACAAGATCATGCAGCTGCAGCGCAAAGTCGATGAGCAGGTGTGTTTCACAATGGAGCCCTGAGAGTGGAGTATGCCCTGAGAAATCCACTGGGATTATTTTCAATATTGTTTTTCTTTGACTTTACCCCTCAGTCTTAGTAAAAAGTAAAATTATGACAGTATTTATTTCCATAATGAGCATGGAAATATTTATGAACTCATAAGGTGGATGACAATTGCAAAAACTAAGGCAGAAAGTTATTATTATTAATTATTTGAGACAGGGCCTCACTCTGTCAGCCAGGCTTGAGTGCTGTGGCACAGTCACTGCTCACTACAGCCTCAACATCTTGGGCTTAAGTGGTCCTTCCACCTCAGCCTGATGGGTATCTGGGACTACAAGCATGTGGCACCACATTCAGCTAACTTTTTTATTTTGTAGAGACAGAGTCTTATGTTGTCAGGCTGTTGGCTCAAGCGGTTCTCCTGCCTCAGTCCCTCAAAGTACTGAGATTACAGGCGTGAGCTACCATGCTTGGCAGGAAATTATTTTTGAGAACACAGATCTACTAATGCTTCAAATCTTTATGACCAAGAGTCATATTGTGTGTCATTTGTTTTTCAAACACCAACTCAAACCAACATGCTGTGTTTTATACGTTGTAATGCTCCATTACAATTATTTATTTGCATGTGGTATGTTCATTTTACAGATGATTTGTTTTTTTTTTTTTTTTTTTTTTTTTTTTT